TGAATGTTTTACCGCGTAGTATTTGCGAAGGAAAAAACGAAATTTGAATTTCTTTATTTGCGGTTTATTGAAGCATGGCTTTAATAATTTAGCATTTTCATATTTGCATACGGGAAAAGACTTCTGAATAGATGATTTAGATGTATCGGCGCTGTAGGAAGCACCCCTGCCTTTCCAATTGCCATACCAATATCTTGATCATGTTTTGGGGATAACATTTTCAGTGGAACTGAGGTCAAAACTTAATCTGAAAAGGTCGTACGCATGAATTCAATATAGATGGAAAGTACTAAATGAAGGTATGCAGCTCAGGTCCGAAGAGTATGACATAATCGCACTTGGTATCCTAAAAATATTCCCAACTTTCCGATCTGAAAATCGATTGTTTAGACGATCTTGAGATATCTTTAATAAACGATATGCACAGATGCAGCTCTCTGAGCTAATTGGTAACATAAGGTTGTCCTTTGCACATCACTTTGTATCACAGTAAATTAGAAAAGAAGCTTAAAAGCAATGGTCTCCAGCGAAAAGCTAGCCCCCATCCGGAGTGCTCTGCTCTTTCCCCCTCCCTCATGCTCCTTCAGTTTTCCCCATAGTGTATTTGTACAGCTGGAGCGATGGATGTTTCGCCGATTTCGCCGAAAGTAGCACTTTTCATCCCAGCGCTCCTGTTCCAACGTTACTTCCAGCAGTCATCGCGAGACGTTGAATCAGTAGCTGCTGTTCAGCAGTAATAATGTCCTCATCAATACCCCCACCAGTGGTACCCAACACTAAATCAGAATCACCGCCTGATTCTCCGCAATACGTGATACCAATAACACCAAATTTGCCAAAATCTCCGCCCGATTTCAATGGTACCAGAAGTTTCGATCACAATGACCCGAAATATCAGTGCTGCTGCCGCCATATGCATATCACTGTTCGTTTTAGTGTATTTTTGCCATTGAATTATTCGAAATACTTGAAAATATTGGTAAATAATAGGCAATTAGTGATCAAAACGTCTTATGTAGCGCAAGCGGTTTGTGGAAGCATTTCAGTAAAAGTATAAATATGAGATACTCAAACCGAATGTCAAATTTTCCTGGTACTTTGATACTTTGATCAACATTTATTTCATCGTTGCGATTCTTGTCACTGATGATATAGTTGGCAACTTCTCCATTCTTCCCTATCTTGGACTTTTCTCGACCACATAATTCCAAATGGCAGTTCACGTTAGTTCTTACACGAAGCCGGCTGCCATTCCTGTGTTCTTTTAATATTGCACGGATACCGTTCAATAATCCGCTTTGTCCATTTGTTATCTCTTAATACCCATTCATGAAAAACGACGCATGCCTGAAATACTAGTGCGATCATGCATTTCTGCGATCATCCCAACAAAGCGGTGCAAGGTGGTTGTGGCTCAAGAATGTAATACGCCATGATTGTATAGCCAACTTGATGTTACTAAAAGTTTGTCAAAATTTCACCACAAAAACGCACAGTTCTGTTATATTTTTCATTTGTTTCCTGGGTAATTTAGTTGGCAGCCCGAGTGGTCTCGGTGGCTTATTTATGCGGTGCAGTGCTCAATGTCTTCCTGGCTATTGCTACACAAGGTACCACTCTAGCATTCTATTCCGTTGCATCGTTCGCATTCGCTCTCGCAATCTTCGGCACACTAATTTATGGCATTTTCAAGGAAAAACGTCCTTTCATTCTGCCATACATGATTTTTCAGGTAAATTTACTTTCTGCGCTGTGTGATAATTTTACAGAAAGTCAATTTTTCGTCTAAGAATTGGTCAGGATTGATTGCACGCACTGCGATTGTTTTTAGTTATTACATGGAATGCTTGAACTCGTAGTCTGGTTTTCCAGTTTTCTGCATCTGATGACCTTCCAATTCTCTTTGACTGCTGCTGCATCTTTTGTTGGCCAGTCTGCTGGCGATCCTGATATTCGTTTCACCTCCACAAATTCGGTTTACTAAATTTTAACTGTAATTACAAGGTAACAA